TCAATTATAATTTATTTCTACTTCAATTTATATTGTATTTCATTTATTGTATTTTTATTTCATTCATCATCATTTAAAACAATCTGTTGGTATTCTTTCATTCTTTTTTAATTATTCTTCTTCACAGTCACACTCATAAAAACATCCATCTCCAAATAATGTAATTGATGATGGTATATTAATTGATGTTAATGATGTACATCCATCAAAACAACCATTTCCTATTTCTTTAATTGATGATGGTATATTAATTGATGTTAATGATTCACATAAATAAAAACAATAATTATCTAATTTACTAACAGATGATGGTATATTAATTGATTTTAATGAATAACATCCTTGAAAACACCAATCACCTATTTCACTAATTGATGATGGAATATTAATATATGTTAATGAATAACATAAATAAAAACATCCACTTCCTACTTTAGTAATTGAAGATGGAATAATAAATTCATTAATATCTTTCTTGAAAATATTCTTTCCATTGATTATTTGTATATTATCTGGTATTTCAATACTAACTAACACTGGTTCATTCATAAATATTCTTTCTTTACTAACAAACTGTAGATTATCTATGTTCATTGATTTTAATGATGAACATTCATAAAAACAATCATTTCCTATTTCTTTAATTGATGAAGGAATATTAATTGATTTTAATGACGTACATCTAGAAAAACAATAATTTCCTAATTTACTAACAGATGATGGTATATTAATTGATTTTAATGAATAACATCCATTATAACACTCATATCCTAATTCAATGATTGATGATGATATGTTAATTGATTTTAATGATGGACAATTACTAAAACAATAATCACCTACTTTAGTAATTGAAGATGGAATAATAAATTTATTAATATCTTTCTTGAAAATATTCTTTCCATTTATTATTTGTATATTATCTGGTATTTCAATACTAACTAACACTGGTTCATTCATAAATATTCTATCTTCACTTATAAATTGTAGATTATCTATATCAATTGATGTTAATGATGTACATCCTTTAAAACAACCAAATCCTATTTTAGTTATTGTTGTTGGTATATTGATTGATGTTAATGATGCACATACTTCAAAACACCCATTTCCTATTTTAGTAATTGATGACGATATATTAATTGTTGTTAATGAATAACAACTATTAAAACAATAATTTCCAAGTGATTTAACTTCTGATGGTATTG